AGGATAGAGACCAGATGGAAACAAGTACACACCACACAGAGTTTCCTAAAAACAAACAGGACCTCACATTGTTAAACCTCATTGCTAAGGTCAGAATATGACTTTTACAACTGAAAAGGTCTTCAGCATTTATAAGTATTGTTCAGTTAATAAATATATGCATCAAAAATACATTAATTCTCTTTTACAAGAACACAGTTGGAGATAAAAATCTTTACAAATCTTCAGTATACCTTTTTGTTAAAATACTGGATTCTTTAAATGCTCACTTCATAGAGCCACAGATGGACAGTTTGGACAGGCTGCAACTTTTTTTGCGGGATTAACTCAACTATCAGAATTTGTTTTTAAACCTCCTTTTATTTGCTTCTGCTGACGCTAGCATCCTGAACCTGAAGCGACAAACATTTAAAGAGCCTTATTAGCTTACGACTGAACACATTGTTATTCTAATTATACTCATGAGAAAACACTGCTATAAAACAAAAACAGTCCTATAATCTGGACATGTTTTTGGTCAGGACTCAGGAAAGAGGTATCCGAGTGGCTAGAAATGAAATGAGGAAAAAAAACGTTAATTGATGACTCTAGCATGTGAGCACTTTATCCAGTCAGTGATTTTCAAAGTCTGTTCAAAGTGAAATGCAACGGTTTTCAAAAATAAAGTTTCTTTCTGCTAATCAAGTTTCTGCAAAGTTTCTACGCAGAAAATGCACTTTAAATAAAAAAAAAAAGGCTACTACAGTAACAACTGAAAATTGTATTACAGTAAATCATGTTCAATAAACTGAATAAATACATGGACAGGTTTCATAATCCAGAACACAGGCTACTTAAGGGTTTGTGGCAATTAAATAGAAGAAAAACACAAGGTAGCATAATGTGGAATATCTGAAGTTATACAGTTTATAGCCAATACCAGTAGAGAAATACATAGCCGGCCACAGGCAGAAGCAAATTTAGCAGCTGATTCGGCCGTCCACTCTAGATCGATCCCTCTGAGAACACAGTTTTGGAGGTAAGTAATAATTACTTACTTTTTCTAAGAAAAAGTTTTCTTTTACATCATTTCTATTCTCCTCTCGCCGAGTATTTAGCTCTCAGAGTTAAAATTCATCTTAAAACCTTCAAAAATCTTAAATCTGTTAACCATGCACAAGTGCTATCACATTATAAATCATATGGAATGACTAATTCACACAGCACAAACTTTTTGTTTCGTTTTTTTCATGCATGTTAATGAAATTTTTGGGCTTATTGTTGAAATATATACACTGTTTGCTTTAACAGGAGTTTTTTTTGTTTTGTTTTTGTTAAATCAACCAAATAGCCTATTAGATCATGTTTTCCAACATCTTCTGTCATGTGGCTTGAAAAATTGGCACAACCTTTATCAGCATGTAGTTCATATTTGATCAAAACCAGGTTGTAATTTTTAAGAATTCAATAACCCTGTGTGTATTTGACAAAGATTGCAACCTGGATACCTTTTAGAAGTTTCCATATTTTCTGCCCTCTTTTTCATGTTTAACATGCCATATTCTGAACTAATCAGTATAATCTTTGTGCTAAATCAGACAATTAAAAAAAAAACAACTTAAGCCCATAAAAATAAGTAAATATATTAAACTTTTTTTATTTAGTTAGTGGCTTTTTTTTTTTTTTTTTTTTTTGATTTTTTAAAAAATCAAAAAAAAGGGAAATGGTAATCCCCCAAAAATTTTTTTTAAAAACCATTTTT